CAAAACATGTTAAATACTTTCACCAAAACTCATTACCTAGTATATGATACCCATTCCGATTCCGATTTCGATTCCTATGTGCGAACCAAACATACCCTAAGTTTACCTGGATTAATTGTTTGACAATTTAAGGGCGTTTGGTTGGAGGGATTTTAAATTCCCTTCCCACTTAATTCCCACCTAATTCCAAAGGCCATTAAATTCCGTAGTTTGGTTGGAGGGAATTGCAATTCCTTGGAATTGCAATTCCCCCATTTTCATGGAATTAAAATCCCATGTCCCTCCCCTGGTATTTTAATTCCTGGGAAAAAAATATAGTGATGAGTCAAAATTATCCCTTCCTTTTTTAACCTAAAATTAATGTCTAACAACAAAAATGGACATTTTTGACTTTATACTACTTATTCCCTTTCAATTCCCATGTATACCAAACATTGGAATTGAAATTTCCAGTAATTCTATTCCTGTCAACCAAACACTGGAATTTAAATTCCGACTTTATTCCCAGTAATTCAACTCCCATGAAATTACAATTCCTTTCCCACATAATTCCCCCCTCCAACCAAACGCCCTGTTAGGGTTGTTCCAAGAAAATGTCCATACCATTCAAACCCCCTGCAAATCAATTAGTATTTCGTCTAATTCAAAAAACTTTGGGCTTTTAGTTTTTAAAATCTGAAAGACATAGAGTTTATTATTATGGTTTAACACTTCGTTATTGTAAAAATTGAACCACCTATTAAATATATCTATACCCAGTTATGAATGAATAATACAGAAGATACACATGTTTATAATGTATACATGCACATGAATGTGATTTTACTTGTTTAATTTTAAAACTATGTTTTGTGTTAATTTTGTTTTGTTTTGTGTTTTATTATTTCTTTGTAGTTTGTTTTTGAAAATTTGTAAAGCGCAGCACTGAAACTGAAGTTGTAACACAAACAATCTGTAACGCAGTTCGGGTAAACAACCCTAATCTGCGAGGCACTTCTCAATTTGAGAACTTGCCTAAATCCACTAAAAGCTCAATATTTAAAGTACACTGTTTGGAACCTGAGATTACACAATAGAATGATCTTTCCTACCAAACTATTGAAACCTAAACACATGTACTACTTTCTAGAGGAATTTAGTATCCTGTTCTCAAAGACTCTCGTACCTCACAAGATTAATGTTGAATGCTTGAGATCTACAATAAAGGACATCCCCTATTTATAGTAGTTATTCCTAACAGATTCGTGAATAACAAACTATTCCTAATCAAAATAGAACTAGAAAATCTTCAACAACAAATCCCCTTAGAATTAGTATTCTTCAATAACTATTCCTCTTAGTACTGATATTCCTTTATAGAACTGGAATTCTTTTTGCACATAACTTTGACAAAATACTTTGAGTCAACATTCTCCTCCTTTGTCAAATTTTTGGCAAACACCTTGGTCTCTGTCTTTCTCCCCCTTAGTTGATGCCACAGTGGTGTTTGATTGATGGCAGATTAATGACAGGTTAGATCACCATCCCATGTGTAACTTTTATCAGATGATCTTTTCCCCATCATAACACATTCATGTTTTTGGTTGTAGACTTTACAATTCTCTTTGGAAAATTCTACTTTGAGTTCATCATCACACAGTTGACTTATACTGATAAGGTTTGCTTTGAGTCCTTGTACCAAAAAGACTCTTGGTAATCTGGGCAGTCCATGGACATTCAAGGTACCAGTTGCGATAATCTGTCCTTTTCTTCCATCTCCAAAAGTGACATGCCCTTCATTTTTGTACTGGATATTCTCAAGATAATGTGGATTTCCTGTCATATGTCTTGAACATCCGCTGTCAAAATACCAAACACTTTGTTCTTGGCTTGTTTCTGAGGTATACACAACAGCTTGTGTTTGTTCCTTTCTTACCCATACTTTCTTGCTGTTATTTTTGCTTTGTACTGCCCAATCTCTGTTGTTTTGTCTGTAATAGAGATCATTTTGTCTTTTGAAGCAATACGCCTTTATGTGTCCTAATTTGTGGCAGTAATAACATCTGATTCTCCTTCGATGTTGAAAGTGATGTCGTGACACCTCAGGATTTTCAGAAGAGTGGCTTTCACTGGACGCTGGATTTGGAGATCTAGGCCTTCCATCTAGTGCCTTGATTTCTTGTAACAGTTTGGCCTCTCTGTTTTTAGATTCTAATAATTCATTTTGAGTTTCTTTGAGGCGCTTTTCTTCTCTCTCTTTTTCACCTTTTAGAAACTGATTTTCTTGCATGAGCTCTAGATTCACTTTGATGATTTGTTCCCATTTAGCATGCAATTGGGTATATGACTCTAGCAGTTCTTGCATATCATTTTTGTTTTCGTTTCATTCTCATGATTTGCGGTGAATGCTACGAAATTAGTGTTGGTGTCTTCTTCACTATCTGAGTCATCGCTTAGTGTTGCCACATATGTTTTGTTCTTCCTTTTAAAGTATGTTGGACATTCTGACTGGATGTGTCCAAACCCTTTGCACTCGTAGCACTGAATTCCTTCAGGTTTTAGACTCTCCCTTCCTTTTGAAATAGATTGATTTTGTCCAGTTGGGAAGTTCCCTTGATTGATTGAAGCACTTTTGCTTCTAAATTTGTTGAATTTTCTGAGAACTCTGTTGAAATTCTTTGTTAGGAGAGCAATTGATTTTTCCATGGTTTCAGTATCAATTTCTGGACTCTCTTTCTTGGAGCGCAATTCCTTTGTCATTATTTTTCCCTTTTTGCAGTATCTCAAGCTCATATGTTTGAAGATTTCCCATTAGATCACTGAGTTTGTAGGTGTTTAGATCTTTGTTTTCTTGGATGGCTGTAACCTTTATCATAAATCTCTCAGGTAGGGAACGTAGGACCTTTTTGACGAGCCTAGGTTCAGGAATAGGTTCGCCTAGGTTAAACGCATCTCCAGCAATCCCTAAAACTCTTGCACTAAACTGTGAGATATCCTCATCTTCTTCCATTTTTAAATTCTCAAACTGTGTTTGTATCATTTGCAGCTTGGATTGCTTAACAGAAGTATTTCCTTCGTGATGATCACATAGTATATCCCATGCAATTTTAGCTATGCCAGTGGTAGCGATTAGTTTGAAAGTATCTTCACTTACCGCTCCATATATGGCATTCATTGCTTTTGAATTGTAATTATATTCTCTTCGCTCTTCTTCATTCCATTCTACTTTAGGTTTTTGATTACCTTTATCATCAACTGGATTCTTCCATTCTTTCTCAACAGCTTCCCAAACTCCTTCTCCTTGTGCCAAAATATAGATTTTCATTCTAGCTTTCCAGTAGGAGAAATTTGTACCAAAGAGCGCAGGGGGCCTGGTGCTTGACAGTCCTTCTCTGGGAAACTCCATTAGGATCCTACTAATAATTTAAGCAATTTGGCTCTGATACCAATTGAAAATTTGTAAAGCGCAGCACCGAAACTGAAGTTGTAACACAAACAATCTGTAACGCAGTTCGGGCAAACAACCCTAATATGCGAGGCACTTCTCAATTTGAGAACTTGCCTAAATCCACTAAAAGCTCAATATTTAAAGTACACTGTTTGGAACCTGAGATTACACAATAGAATGATCTTTCCTACCAAACTATTGACACCTAAACACATGTACTACTTTCTAGGGGAATTTAGTATCCTATTCTCAAAGACTCTCGTACCTCACAAGATTAATGTTGAATGCTTGAGATCTACTATAAAGGACATCCCCTATTTATAGTAGTTATTCCCTAACAGATTCGTGAATAACAAACTATTCCTAATCAAATTAGAACTAGAAAATCTTCAACAACAAATCCCCTTAGAATTAGTATTCTTCAATAACTATTCCTCTTAGTACTGATATTCCTTTATAGAACTGGAATTCTTTTTGCACATAACTTTGACAAAATACTTTGAGTCAACAGTTTTCATACCTACAAACATTATATTAAGTTAGACAAAGTGTTTTACCAAGCTAAACCTTGTGATCTACTGATCTGTGGAAACCAAAACTTACATTACTTTGTGGTTAGTTATGGTTTTATTTTATACCGATCAAACGACCTAAGTGAGCTGATTATAATAATTGAAACTGCTGAATTATTAAACTTTCTGAAACCAAACGTCCAAACCTCACACTGAATGTTCATATATCCCGCATTCTTATTCACATTTGGAAACTCTAATGATTGAAACTTCTAAATTTTTAGGTCCTCTACAAAATTTTGGACTACTTTAGCAAGTTTGATTGGGAAAAATATTGTATTTGTTTAGCTGGTCCTGTTCGCATATCATCTTTGCCAGAAATTGTGGGTAAGGAACTTCTTGCTAACTGTATGTGGTCTGTCATTATATGTTTCGTTGCATTATTTCATCAAGGTGATTTGCTGTTCCTTTTGCAGTTGAGGCTCCTGAAAATGATGGTGGTGAGTTACTGCTCAACAATGATTTTCTTAGATATTGTGTCAAAATGTTTTCTGTTTCTTCAAAAGGGTATGATATGAACTTCAGAACCTTTCAACAAAAGCATCTTAACATACTTGATCCTCTGAAGGAAAATAATAATCTTGGCTATAGTGTCAGCAAAGGTCATGCAATTTGTATGTTTTATTTTTTATTTTTTATTTTTTATTTTTTTTATTCAGGGCTTAAAATTGTTTATATTTATGTTTTTTTTAAATAACACAAATTTGTTAGCTTATGCAAATCAAATATTTTTTTCTTTTTTTATTTAATCTTTTATATGTTATGCAATAGTGTAATTTTTTATGGAATAAATACTTTTAATAACATATTAAAATAATTAAACTTTTTGAATTATCAATTAATTTAAACGTTGACATGTTTAATTTAAACTCGTAAAGTTATTGCCAGAAATTGTGGGTAAGGAACTTCTTGCTAACTGTATGTGGTTTGTCATTATATGTTTCGTTGCATTATTTCATCAAGGTGATTTGCTGTTCCTTTTGCAGTTGAGGCTCCTGAAAATGATGGAATGGAGGTTTGTGGAACGCATGTTGTTGGGGCTTGGTTTTGATGTTAGATGGGTAAATTTGATCATGTTATGTGTACGGACAGTCAGGTACAGGGTCCTAGTCAATGGGAAGCCTAGTGAGGAGATCTTGCCCACGAGAGGATTAAGACAGGGTGACCCTCTATCACCCTATCTTTTTATCATCTGTGCGGAAGGCTTGTCGTTATTATTGCAGGATGCCCAAGCAAAAGGACGGATACATGGCTGTAGAGTGGCTCGTGGGGCCCCTCCCATCTCTCATCTTTTCTTTGCTGATGACAGCCTATTGTTCTTCAAGGCTAACATGCAGGAAACTATGGAAGTGAAGCGTTGTTTGGAAATTTATGAGCAATACTCAGGTTAATCGGTAAACTTTCATAAGTCTAACATTTCTTTCAGTCGGAATACTTTGTTGTTAGACAGGGATGCTATTGCTATGGGTTTAGGGGTAGAGCAGGCAGAGGATTTTGGAAAATATTTAGGGCTCCCCTCAGTTGTTGGTAGGAACAGGAAATATGTTTTTTCCTATGTGGAGCAGAAGTTGAGGCAAAGGTTTGGTTCGTGGAATAAGAGGCTGCTATCTATGGCAGGTAAGGAGATACTGCTCAAGAGCGTGGCACAAGCTATGCCTACGTACACTATGAGTATTTTTCTGCTACCTATATCTTTATGTGCTTCTTTGGAAAGACTGATGAATAGGTACTGGTGGGAAAAGAGTACTACAGTGGATGGTATTCATTGGATGGCCTGGGATAGAATGTGTGTGCCCAAGAAGTACGGTGGTATGGGTTTTAAGAAGCTGCATGAGTTTAACTTGACACTTTTAGGGAAACAAGCTTGTCGTCTGTTAACAAAGCCGGATTCTTTAATGGCCAGAATTTTAAGGCAAGGTACTATCATGATTCCACGTTTTATGAGGCCACCTTAGGTGGTAACCCAAGTTACGTATGGAGGAACATTATGGCAAGTCAGAACACTAGTACAAAATAGAGCAAAGAAATATGATTTTAGGCTACCCTTCTTTAAACAAGAGTAGTGTATTGTTAAAAAAAAAAGAGACAATGGCATAATTGTAAATAAATGAATATGAAACCGCTACCCTTTTAAAAAAAAAGGGTAGCGATTTTTTCTTCCAAAAAAAAGACGGTGGCATAATTGTAAATATGAATACTTTCCACTGCCCTTCCCCGTAGAAAGGGTAGCGGGGAAACAAAAATAAAAAAAAAAAGATCTCGCTGACCTAGCTGCGCTCACTCTCATATCTCACCTCTCCTCAACGCGTCTTCCTGCCTCCACCGTCACTCTCACCACACCTCCGTCGTCGCTGCGCTCCTTCCCACAGGCCACACCTCCGTCGTCGCCCTCACCAGCGCCTCCCTCATCCTCCCACGACGCCGCTTACACCGCCTCTCTCACCACGACTCCCTCAGCCTCGACCAAAAACCGCCGCCGCCACCAAGATAAGGATCCAACGCCTCTCTCATCAGCCACCCACGACCCCGCCACCACCCTCGCCACCGCCGCGGCTGCTTCTGTGACTTCCACCGTCGGCAGCTGGTCAACAAAACTGTACGTGCAGGTAATTTTTTTTTGTTAAAATTATTTTTTATAATTATCATTGTAATATATATTATATTTGTTAATTTTTATTTCGAATTTTTAGTTATTTGTTGTTATTTTTGTTGTTATACCCTAATATGTGTAAAGATATGAATTTAGTTGTTATTTTTGTTGGGATTATATAGTAATGTGTGCATATATGGTATAATATATGACTAGAAGTACGAATTTTGGTTATGAATTTTGATTATTATTATTTTATTTAGAATTTTGACATTTTAATTATTTATTTTTGAATTTTAATAAATGTTGTGTGAAATAGGTATTTTGATAAATTGTTTATTTTTTATTTGATGAAATATGTATTTGATAAATTATTTATGATAAATATGTTGTTTGATGAATAAATATGGCATAATTGTATATTTGATGATAGGTATTCATTTGAACATAGCTGGCATAAATCGGGAACATTGATATGTTTGGTTCTCAGCCGATCACAAGTAGGAAGAGAGGAGGAACAAAGCTGCCAAAAGAAAGTCTTTAGCTTTGGAGGGAGTTTGAATTTCCAGAATCTGGTCCAGATTGGGACTTGGACAGAACTGAAATCACCTGCAAGAGTATTATAGCAACTACGCACAGTGTAAGTACCCTTATCATCCTCCGTCCATATAATTTTATCCTTTTAACTTGCTGTCTGGAAGAGGGATACTCTTTATGAGGTTCACATCACTTTGGTTGAAAAGAGTATTAATAAGGGTGTCATTCCATGATGAATTTCCAGGTTGGATAAGGCCAGCAACTTTAGTGATTCCAGATTGAATGGGTGCAAGGGGCTGAATGAATGGTTGGTTCTTGTTTGGCATAGATGTCAACCTTTATGCATTGGTTTTTGATGAATCTGTTTTAAATGATGCAGTAAGTGAGGAGTTTGGTAATTCTCTTTGCTAATTAGCTTCTTTTTTTTAAAAATGTTTTTGTGTTGCACAACTGGAAGATGGAAATTTCTCTATACAGGTCAGTTTAGTTGAAATGCTTTTCTAATTAGACTAATGTAGGAGATCTGGCCAAAGTGGTTAGAGATACGCAGTTATCTATTTATTTGTGCATATTTTTTGAAATGTAGGAGATCTCCTCGGTCCTCTCCTAGTAACCAGGACAGAGCTGGACCATCTGATTTACAGTATTTCTCTGAATCCTTAAGTAGTTTAGATGATGATCTTGAAAGAGTGAAAACTGGATTTAGAAAAAAGAAGAAATGGCATGCTTCAGATGATGATTTTTCCTCACGTTCAGCTTAGGCCTGCAGACAGTGTAGAGAAGGCTTCTAAAACTGCTGAGATAAACCCGAGGAAAATCAAGATGAGGAGGTATGTTTCTTGTACATTCTATGACCTATTGACTTTGACTGCTCATATTATGATACTAATTATCTAACTCTTAATCACAAGTGACCCAAGTCTGTGGTTTCTATTGATCTGTTGAGTCTGAGGATAGGGCATCACCATCACTTTAACTTGTATTGTTTATTGGCCATTGGCCATGGTGTAGCTTTGTTTATTATTATTATTATTATTATTATTATTATTATTATTATTATTATTATTTACTTTCAAAGGTACAGATGTATTTTAGTTGTTAACCTCCCATAAATGCTTGAAAAATGCATCTCCTCTACCCAAAGTGGAACAATTCTGTGTTAGTTTTCAGCAAAGTATATTAGTTCTAACTTCTCTACTAGAATTTTTATGATGGGCTTTTTGTGTGATCAAGTTGGATTACCCGTTTTTCTATTCTGTTTCTGGTTCAGACTAGAAAAGTAAATCCAAGAGAACTCAACCCATATTTGAAGGATAAACGCTTTAAAGCGAGTTAAAGAGCAAGCTGCTCTCGAAGGACGAAAGTTGGATGAGGTAGATACTCATGGATTGCTGTTAGAATTTTGTTTAGTAGTCTCTAGCACGCATATTAGTATATAATGCAGTAAGTGTTATTACAGGTAGTTGAAGAATTGTGGGGTTCATTGAGTCAACTAGCTGTTTCTGTTGCATCCCGCAAAGTTGCCCCAAACCATGCTCATCTTCATGCCATCAAAAGTAGAAGGGGTGTAATGGGAGAGTGATCTGTTGAGAAGGTAATTCTCTAAATTAACTACTTTAGTCACCTTAATTCTATGTCATATGTGTGTTTTGTCTTAATGTATTCTAATGTTTTATTGATTCTTGTTTCTTCCAACTCCCATACTTCGTATAAGCATTGTCCTTAAAATCTCTAGATTCAATTTTTTTTTAATAAATAATTGTTGACTCTGGGTTGTTTGATTGGAAGTTTTCTAACTTTAATGACTTTCTATACTATGAGGATTATTGGGTTTTTGTCTTGTGACCTTAAAATAGTTGAATTTTGATGGGTGTCTAAGTTTTCAATCTGTATTAGGCTGGTTTGGTGCACAGCGTTCATTTTACATAATAAGATTAAACTAAGAAGTTCTTGCAGCAAACCCCAACAAGATCTCTGTTAAGGCTTATTTGAGTAGAGATAAATGGGATAATCAATTAGAGAGACAAATGCTCTATCTTCTTAACATATGTCTAAAAGAAACAATTATTGGGTCAAGGACTGTTGGTCATTATAGTTTTCTGGTATGAGTTTAGGTATACTTGACTTTTATTGAACTATAATACTATAGAAGCACTTGATGATCACTTGATAGCTGTCCAAAGGGATCATTAACATAGTTCCCAAATAGAAGAAAGGAGAATAAGAACTTTGACATTTGAGGATAAGCTGATATGTCTAGGTGACAGATATTAGTAATCAAACTACTAACTAAAGGAATTCCTTCAGGTTTTAGATTGTTTAGTTGTTATTAGTGCTTTTCTTCTCCAGTTCCCCCATATTTGTTTCCACCTTCTAGAGAACATGCAACTATAGTTTGAATTTGGTAATTTTATTGTTGTGAAACATTATGAAAATCTCTCAAAAAACTGTAGGAATGAGGAATAGACTTGGATTCTCTGTGAATGAAAATATGCTTGCCTATTTAGATGATAATTTTTTTTCTAAAGTTAATATAGCAAAATGTTTGGGAGAGTTAATTTTCTTCTGATTCTTGCTCATGAGCTATTTAATTTACTATTTTATATTATGAAGATACTTAAGTTTTTTTTCCTGGCATAAAATGACTATTGCAGTGTACTACAGAAGTTGGATCTGCAATGTCCTATTCTTTTCCTGATATATTTGACTTAGTTTTAGCTCCCTTGTGATAGATTTATAACACCTGTTAAACTTGGAATCAATTAGCTGTGATTCATGTGCTTGGCTATTAATGAATCTAATTTATATTTATATATATCAGTAATGCACTTATTTGTTTCAAGTGAATTTCATACATCTTTTTTTACTATATACATTGTACTAGTTCTGCTTAATCGTTCTTATATTGGTTGTATTGAAATATTGATGATTATCATTAGTTAATTAGGATATATTATTAATGGTTGGATTAAATTGATTATTGTGAATGATTAATTTAGATTATGTTGAATATGGGCGAAAGATTTTGTTGTGGATTGCGTTATATTATGAATATTATTGTAGGATTGTAGTATTATGTTGATATGTAGTGTATGAATTCCGTATAGGATTTAAAAAAAAATAAAATTGGGAAATTTAAATATAATAATGATTTTTTTTTTTAATTTATAAAAAACAATCCGCTACCCTTCCTTTTAAAGAAGGGTAGCGGATTGTTTTAATAAATTAATGGTATTCGCTACCCTTCCTTTTAAAGAAGGGTAGCGGATTCTTAACTTTCCGCTACCCTTGTTCAAGGGTAGCGGAAAGCTCAGGGTTTTCAGCGACCCTAGTATCCGCTACCCTTGTACAAGGGTAGTGGATAGCCCTTTACAAGGGTAGCGGATGTGCAAATTTGTACTAGTGGAACCTGATTCATAGTGGCTGCAGGCGCAGAATTAGGGATGGTAGAACTTCTAAGGTGTGGTCACACCCGTGGTTGCCTGACTCTCAGAATCCGTTTGTAGTAACTGACCAGGGGGCACAGTATCCGGATCTTATGGTCTCAGATCTGTTAGTTTATGAACAGTGGAAATGGAACCATGATTTAATTTCTCAGATGTTTGTTCCCAGGGATGCTGAGTGAATTCAACAGGTTCCTGTGAGCATTAATTTCAAGGATGACTGGTTTTGGAAGGGGGATATTAGGGGACAATATTCGGTTAAAAATGGCTATAGATGCCAATGTGAGTTGGACAACACCCCAGAAGCAATTTGGAATAACATTTGGAAGCTGAGGGTCCCTCCCAAGTGGAGGATTTTTCTATGGAAGGTCCTTTCCAATATTTTGCCAACTATTACCAACTTGGTTAGAAGGAGGGTGGAAATTCCTAATATTTGCCCAGCTTGTGGAGATTGTGCGGAGGATGTTATGCATATTTTATGCACTTGTGTATATGCTAGACGTGTGTGGAATGTTTCACGTCTTATAATCCCTAATGTTGATAATTATGATTTTATGCAGTGGGTGGAGGCTTGGTTAGGATGCTCAGCAACATCTGCTGGGTTCCTAAAAGAACAAATTTACGGAATACTCTACGAAATTTGGAGAGCCCGGAATATGACTGTTTGGGATTCGTTTCTACCGACTCCTACGCAGCTGTGTCACGCATTTCATGGTTATTGGTTTGCCTACTCCACAAGTTGCTCGCCGATTGCGCCTGCTGGACCAACTGCGCCGGAACCCCCAGCTGCTCCCCAAGATCCGACTGCCCATGCACTGCCGGCTGTGCTTCAACATGCTACTGTACTGCCGGTAGCTTTGGAGATGCCACTGCCGCCTGGAGGGTTATATTGCTTCACGGACGCAGCCATTCACGGTACATCCCCAACTTACGGTTTTTACGCATGCAACGCACAAGGTGGATTGGAGGCAGCTGCAAACGGACCTCTTATTTGTCCGAATGATCCCCTTTTAGCTGAAGCAATGGCGGTACGTGAGGCCCTATCTTGGCTACGGGACCGCGGATTTCAGAATGTTGCGATTTTTTCAGACTGTGCGGTCCTAGTTTCGTCCTTCCGTGATGTGATGACCTATCGTTCATATCTAGGAATTATTTTGGATTCATGTTTACAGTTGTTTAATTCTTTTGATTCTTGCTCCATAAAATTTGTACGCAGAGATGCCAATATGGTAGCTCATGCCTTAGCAAAGCATAGTAGTGCGACTGACTCTCATTCTGTCTGGAGGGACTATCTTCCTTCCTTTGTTTTGCTTATAGTTTAATGCAATATAATTTCCTTGGCTTTCAAAAAAAAAAAAAAAACTCGTAAAGTTAATTAAATTAGACTTTTACTAGTTGTTATTTTAAAAATAAAAAAATAAATAATAATAATAATAATAATGATACGACATCGGTTATTCCAAAAAACTAATGTCGTATATAAATGAAACGCATGACCGATTCCATATATACCGCTTCTCAGCTTTGAGACCTTTTGCTGATCGAAAAATAAAAAACAAAAAACTCATGGGCGGATGTTTGAGGTTTTGTCCGTTAGAATTATATCGTCTTACCTGCACGATCTTTCCCGGTCGAGTATTACATCTATCCCGCTTCTTAGTGATGAAGCCTCTTGTAGGTTGTTAAATAAAAATTGGCAGTAGAATTGTTTGCCATGTTTTCTTCCCTACAAGATGGCTTTTATGGGCCGAACAAAAAAAATAGTGTGTTGTAACATGTCAATGCTGAGCAGGTATTTTTTGCTTCGGCAATCAACTCAAAATTATTTTATACTTATGCTTTTTTTTTTTTTAAATAACACGAATTTGTTGGATTATGTAAATTAAATGTTTTTTCTTTTATTTGAATTTTTCTTTTTCTTTTTAATTTAATTTTGTTATTTAATATTTTATATCTTATGCAATAGTGTAATATTTTATGTAATAAATACTTTTATTAGATGATGTAAAATAATCACAAGGGCTTTAGTGTCTTTAATTTCAGCAATCATAGCCTCTTTCCAACAATCATCACGTATGGCTTGATTATATGTTGTTGGCTCTTTGATAGAAGTGACTGCCATTGAAAACTTCATGTGTGGCATAAGGAGATGGTTGTAGGAGATAACTTCTGATAGCTTGTGGGGTGAGGTACCCTGTGATGTGGCTGCATCACAGTAATAGTCTAAGAGCCTGCTTGGGACATGACGGTTTCTGTCAGAACGGCGAGGCTGGATATCAATAGGTGCCGGAACTCTAGGTTGTATATCAGATGAGGAATCTGGGATAGTAGTGCATGGCTGATCATTATCTACCTGTTCATTCCCATGTGAAACACTATCATCTGCCTATTCATTATTAAGATGAGTTTGGCAATACTGATTAGTACCACTTCCGGAACAAGGCTGTATTGAGCTGATGATCATAATTGTCATGCCAATCAAGATCCATGGTAGTAGGAATATTTGGGAGAGAGGGCTCAGAGGAGGACAGGTTGTAGCTGGTGATTTTCTCAGCTGCCATAGGGAATTGGAATTCATAAAATGTGATATCCGGAGATACAATAACAGTTCTATCTTCCAAATCATATAGGATATAACCTTTAATCCCAGCTGGTATGCCAATAAAGATGTATTTCTTACCCATGTGCCATTTTGTGCCTTGCCTTAGGAATCTTCGCAAATTATGCTGTGCAACTGTATGCACCATGTATGGTACACAAGGTTGTAAAAACGATGTCATTTCGATTAAAAACGCGTGTCTCACTTTAAAAAAAAAAAATCAGGTTCGATTCCCGGCAATAACATTATTTGTGCATAATTTGAATTATATATCCACAAATTCATAACTATATATCCACAGTGAATGAATAACACAAAATCCAGAATGAATGAACTAAATATCCTGAATGAATGAACTAAATATCCACAATGAATAAACTAAACATCCACAATGAATGAACTAAATATCCACAATGAATGAACTAAATATCCACAAATTCATAACTATATATCCACCAATTCATAACTATATATCCACAATAATGCTGTTGAGGGGAATCGAAACAGAATATATATATATATATATATATATATATATATATATATATATATATATATATATATATATATATATATATATATATTTTTTTTTTTTTTTTTATAAATGGGACGCACGTTTTTAGTCAAAACGATGTCGTTTTGCAACCATGTGCACCATGCGTAACTATTGAGGAATCAAGTTAATTAAATTAGACTTTTACCACTTGTTGTTACTTTAATATAATAATAACTAGTAATTCACCCGCGCGATGCACGGAAAAAAATTATGTTATTATAAATATAAATAAAAATAGAAAAAATTAAAATATTTTAAATTATTTAATATAATAATACTTTTGAGCTTCCATTGGTCAAGTATTTATTATTTTTATGGAATACA